CCTCCCCCAACCCCTTCCCAGCCAGCCCCACTCCTCTCCCAGCCAGTCCCGCCCCCCATCTGAGATTGTGTATCTGGTATTTTTTTGAAATCATCTGGCAACCCTACAGACGGGGCAGGGGAAAGAGAGGTGGAGAAAGGAGGTGATGTGCAGAGGTGGAGAATGGAGCCAGGTCTCCTGTGCCCCCTCCCATTCCCTGGCCACCAAGGCCGGCAGCCTGGCCCCACACACGAAGCTTGTTCCCTGTGGTTAACGCCCTGGGGTTCTGTGAAACGTCAGCCATGCGCGTTGGCTCCCAGCGCCCCACGACCGCTGTGCCGTCGCGTGGGGCCCCTTGCCGCCTTAGGACAGGGGCTGCTTCGTTACCCCCTGCGGCCTGGCGTGGGGGAGGGCACTTGGGTCCTGTCTGATTCCCGTCGTTACTACAAGGACCGTGGGGAAATAACGCCTTGGGCTGAGGCGGCGCCGCTCTCGGGGGCAGGGGGGTGTCGCGTGTGCGCTGGTGTGTCGCTGAATGGGCGTTGTGCGTCTGCGCACGGGCGTGTGCACGTGTTGGGGGTTTGGTGGCAGGGAGACTGGGTGTGGCTCCTGAGTAGTTCAGGCCTGAAGGAGACCCTGCTCCCATAGCCTGCGCCTGGGGTGACTCCATCTCTCGCACGGCTCTTTCCATCTCTGAAGTGTCCTCCTGCCACGTACTAAACCCTCTGGCTGGCTGGCAGCCCGGGCAAGGCCGGCTTATAAGGGCTAAAGGGCCGGCCAGGAATGGGGAGCAGGGTGGGCTTGGCCGGTTTCTGAGCCAAATAAAATCTTCCCATCCCCCACCTCCCGTCCCTCTCGGAGCTGCCGTGAAGGGCACGGAGCGTCCTTGAGCGGAGGCATGTCCGGGACCATTGTCTGTCACTCCTATTGTGCTCAGCCACCCTCCATGGAAAGTCATTTCACAGCCCAGCCGTCAGGAGATGAGGATGCAGGGAGACGGCCGTGTGGCTGGGGGTCAGTCAAGACACCGAGGCAGATGGCAGCTAACTTGCTGGCTCGGGGCGCCGCTGAAGCTGCTGAGGCTGGGGAGGGGTAAGAGCAGGGGCAGGACACCGCCCATAGCTCTGCTGCTGGGTTACAGTCTCCTGTAAGGTATCTATAGACCCCGGCAACACGCTGGTCCCGCAGAGATCTGCAAGGTGCGCGTATAAAGAGTTGCCAAGATGGACTAGAATCGTCTGCAACTAGCGCGCAGTAGGCCTGGTCCTAGAAGTGGATTTTTCCTGTTGGTGGCCGGGTCTCACGGGCTCCTGCCCCCATAGCTCTGCTGCTGGGTTACAGTCTCCTGTAAGGTATCTATAGACCCCGGCAACACGCTGGTCCCGCAGAGATCTGCAAGGTGCGCGTATAAAGAGTTGCCAAGATGGACTAGAATCGTCTGCAACTAGCGCGCAGTAGGCCTGGTCCTAGAAGTGGATTTTTCCTGTTGGTGGCCGGGTCTCACGGGCTCCTGTGTCCGATTGTTAAGTAAACTCGTTTTCCTTCTGCTAGAAGCCGGGTCAGCGCCTCGACGGGAGGGAAGGGCCGGGTAACCCGTTACGCTAACAGCCCACGGCGCGTTCTCTGTAAAGGAACAACAAGCGTCGCTTTCTGGGCGCGTTCAGGAAGGCGGCCGGGCGCTGCGGGGAGACGTCTCTGGGAACACGGGGATCGGGGCTCGCTGTTCGGTACCAGCTGGGCCAGCTTTGCACCGGCAGGGGGCTGGTGAGTTTGCTGGCAAGTGGGCGGGGGGTCGTCATGCAACTGTGCAATAGCAAAACTCCCTTGCTGAGGCCGCGCGGGTGAGCCAGGGAGTCCCCATTCCCGGGGCCCCGGCAGATCCCAACACTGTGGTGCTCACGGCTATTTCTCCTGGCCTTCCCTTGGATCCGCCTTATGCC